AACCGGGCACTCACCCCCCTAGGACGGGCAGGATACGTTCCCGGCCGAGCGGGACGGCACGTCTCGAAGCGCCCTCGGCGCCCCCCTTTTCAGCCGAACAGAACGCCCTCCGCGGGCGACATTCCCCGTGCCATCGAGCATGAACCCTTGGGTCTCCCACGTCTTCGCGCGCTCCCCTCCGCGAGGAGAACTACGCCCTCCGAGGAACTCCGTGAGCTCCCCTCCGCGGGGAGAACAACGTGTCCGGTGCGCGTTCTCCACGTGCTCCCCTCCGCGGGGACACGTCAGCAACCAACTACCCACCTCCAAAAGAGCAGGTCAAACCCACTTTCCGGAGATCAAGGAGCAGTTGGACTAGGGCGAAGACCACGTCCTGGTCTTCACTACGCCACGTAAGCCCTAGCAGTCACCTGGGTTGGGCCTGGCAATCCAGCCCAACACAAGTGACCGTTGGCCCAGCGCTAGAGTCTCTCTATAAATACCCTCTTCCTCAAGAGGGTCAGGTAATTCACTTCTTACCCTTTTCCTGTACTTTGCTCTCGCTCTGCCCAGCTCCTAACTTTGGCATCGGAGTGTTTTGCAGGTACACCCCCCTTCTCCTCCTCATCACCGGTGAACAGGTAGCAGTCCAACAGCGTGTGGCCAGCCCGTGATCCCCTTATGATCAGGTCAGATCACTAACTAAGCAACCACATATCAACCCTATGGTAATATCAACCCTAAAAGGATAATGCGACGTAGAAAACAAAAGTGGTATGTAAAATGAAAAAAAATTGAAAAAACCAATAAATCCAAGGTGGGGGTCCAAAATCAAATTGCAAAAGAAAAGTGCATAAAAATCCGCAAGAAATCTAAGAAAGTAAGAGATGAGCTTGAAAATTCACACCCATCTTTTAAGAATGGTAAATGTTTCGACCACTAACACAAACAAATACACGTACCAAAACTCATGTGAAATAAATTACAACAAGTTTAACAACTCTTTCAAGCCTAATCAAATTAGAACATAACGAGCTAGCTCAAAGGCATCTTATTGGACAGCATAAGAACATCACACCTGCAATGAAATTATAACCACCACAAAATCACTAATGTAGTGTCAAACCCCAAACACAATGAAAACTACAAACAGATCCAGAAATCATGATTCCACCATCAACAACTAGTGAAATATAGCTTGAGAAACAGATTAAAAAAAAAACTAAAAACAAATCAAATCTTCTGCTAAGCAAACGAACCAGCCAACGATCTCAGACGAGTAGAAACGATCTTCGAAAGACCGTAACAACTTTGTTGGAGAACTTTGCAAAGAGATCTTCTCCCATAGCTTCGGGAAAAAAAACAGAACCAACCACCTGAAAAATGGAACAAGCGAAGGATCTGTGACAACGAGATCACTGCCACAGCGCCGAAAACACGCCAACCCCAGGGGGGTGATGGGTGAAGTGGTCTGAGAGAGTAATTAATCATGTATAAAGGAAAACGATTATGTAAAGAACACAAAACCTGAACCAATACTATTTTCTGCTCTTATAATCCTTCATAAAGACTGTTTCCATGCTTCTTTAAGATTCACTTTTTTTAATTCCTAATATTTTCATTACCAATGTTTGTGATTCAGACTATTTTTTATTTAGATATATAGTATAGTGTTTGCATTCTCAATAGATGTCGTGACGGTTTCACGTGTATCACTTGTGTTTCTTGTGGATTAATGTGTTAGCAATGTCTTGAGCGTTCATCCTCAATAAATAGAGGACAATGACTTGTTTATGGGCAACAAAGTTATAGTGTGACAAAATTGGCCAACTTTTCCCGTCCGTTGAGACAAAAACCGAGGTAAATTGTTATTTTTTTAAATAAAAAATAAAATAAATTAGGGACTTTTCCCCCTTGGTCTTTAAATCCATCGAGGTAATATCTTACTTATGATGCAAAAAAAAATAGTGAATGGGAAAAAATTGAAAGAAACATACATTGTTTCCTTTTTCAATTTTTTTTCTTCCATAAACCAATTTCTTTGTGTGTTACAATAATCAATAAAGAACTATATTCAAAACAAGTTGCAGTGGGATTAGGAATAAATTTGTCAATGTTGTCAACCGAATAAAACAATATATTATAGAATATTTTCTTTGATGGGCAACATTAGGAAGTTATTCTAAAATATATCAATGTTTTCTTTTACCTTTAAACATTAGCAAGAGGTGTAAACAACAATAACAATAACAACAACAACAACATCATTATGTGAAATAGATTGTAAGAACGGAAAATTGTTTTGTTAAAAATTGATGTTAGAAGAACAACAACATAAAAAAGTATTTTGTTGTCTTACAATCCATCCCAAAGAATGGTATTTACGAGTGTATGTAGCGGTTGTATATGAATTAAGTTTAGAAAATATTAATGAATGAATCCTTTTATAGTTAAATACGTGTATCATACTCCTCGGTTATGAGCATAACTGAAAGAATAGATTACTTAAGAGTTAATTAAAAAAATAAAATAAAATAAAAAGAAAGACGTCACTTTTAAAGAAATAAAAAGATATAAGTTGTAGTTGTTGGAATTATAATCATGTACTCTGAATTAGTTTACCCGTCGGTTATCTACCACAATTGAGGGATTATTCGGTTTTTTTAAAGAAAAAAACGTGGTGCGTCCAACAATTATACCTCAGTTTTTTGTTGGGTGAAGTAAAAGTGTTGTCAAAATTTTATTATTATTTGTAATAGTGTAAGTACCCACACCCTATGGGCATCAGTACCCGTTTATCCACATTTCTGATAAAAAATAATTGATAAAGTATAATTTATCATGTGATTTTATGTTTGTAACAACATACAAAAATTTAATGATGTTATTGTTGAGTTAAGAAATAAACAATATGCACAAAAATTTATTAGTGATGTATTCAATAAAATTGATAAATAAACATGCATATATAATAATAAAAATAAAAAATATAAATTTATATTACGTGAGTATGAGTTGAGGTGAATACTAAGTACGGGGAAATCGGACTTGTCTCGATATGCACCCATGTTTTTCTTACACTTCAATGCAGTACGGACTAAAGGTTTAAGTCTGCACCCTGTAATGTGTCCATGATGACAATATGTCATTGCATGTTTTATGTCGAAGAAACGAATCAAAACACGTCAAAGATGGGCAAAAATGAAGAATAAAGACCAAAGAAATATGTAAAAATGACCAAGTATGAAGAAATAAAGACTTAGTGAAAATATGATGGAAAAATGAGATAAAGCGAGGCATCTACTAGAATAATCACGCGCAACATCACGCGCGCAATGAAAAAGCAACTATTAGCCATCGCATGCTATTGTGCGCGTCACAATGGTGTATCGTAAGTATCACGCGTGATGGTGCCTTTTGCGCCTTTTTCTATCGTGCTCCTGACCCGTTCAAAATGCTTTAAAAAGAGGTTTTTGGCATCTTTTCAAGGGTTCTTCTATTTTGACTAAAAGTGACGGTAAATAGCACTATGAGGATGATTTTTAGAGCATTGGAAGTCATTGGAGGACAGTTCTTCAAAGATTTTCATATGAAATCTCCATCTTATTTTTTGGTATTTATTTGTATCGTTATAAGTAGTTAAACTTCTCTAGGTTAACTTTTGTATGATGAACTTATTTTGAACTTGTTGGGACATATGTTTAATTTGTCAGTACGTGAATAGTTGAAGTTATATTTCTATTTAATTGCCTCTTATGCTTAATGATTTTTATGTGAGACACTCTTTTAATCTAATTATGGACGCATAGGAACTACTAACCATTAGTCTATGTGTTAGAACTAGGGCAATTATTATACTTACGCTGGTTGAATAGGGATAAGAGACATCTAGTAGTGGCATTTGAGTTAAAGTATTGTTGCATTGCTTAATTTCACTTATACTGGTTGAATAGGGATAAGAGACCTCTAGTAGTGGCATTTGAGTTAACATATTATTGCATTGTCTAATTTCACTTACGCTGGTTGAATAGGGATATGAGACCTCTAGTAGGAATTAGTGAGTTATACACCAAAGAATTAGGTATAATGGTTTTGTTAAGTCATCGTAGAAATATAACGACTTTCTCATTCATGTAATGCATTAAACATCAACAGGGGATATATAAGGGATTATATACAAAACTTGTTTGCTTTCACATTATTTTATAACCACTTTTATTTTTCGCATCAAAACTCAAAAACCCCGTCCTCTAATTGTTACTTTCCAAACTTGCACAAATATTATTTTGTTAAGTAGTAGTCTCTGTGGATTCTATATTTTTTTATTACTGGAAAACTATCAGTACACGTGCCAAAAAGTCATCAATCTGCCGGAAATTTTACTTCATACCCCTACATCTATCCCCACACCCCTACACTAAAAACTATTGGACCAAAATGCCCTTCCTTAAATAGTATAATTTAAAAAAAAATTTCATTTCACTTTATTTGCACTAAAAGTCTTCCGGAACACACATTTGCATCTCTCAAACCGGAACTCTTCCTTAAAGTCTTCCGGAAGTCACTTTTCACGCTAGCCAAACCGGAACTCTTCAAGTAAGTCTTCCGGTTCCTTTGTTTTTTTTTTCCTTCACCGGAAGACTTAATGCATGTCTTCCGATATACAATTTCTTGGATTTCTTCACCGGAAGACTTCGCTTAAGTGTTCCGGAACACATTTTTCCTAATTCCTTCACCGGAAGACTTTCTTCATGTCTTCCGGTTCATTGTTTTTTTTGTTTTTTTATTTATTTATTTATTTTAATTTTTATTTTATTTATTTATTTTATTTATTAATTTACTTTTTAAATTTTTTAATTATATTTATTTATTATTATGGTTTTAATTTTTATTTTTTAATTATATATATTTATTTTAATTTTAATTTTTTTTAATTATATTGGTTTTTTTTTCCAGTGGTGCGCACACGAGGCAGAGATGGTAGGATCCCTCGCGGACTAGGACGGGGCGAGTCCTCCAGGATGGCTGAAGAAGAGCATTTTGATGCATCTGCATCAGCATCCGAACCAGTTGGATATCCAGGAGGACCATATGATACGTCTCTGTTAGTTAAGTACGAACAACATATTGCATGCCGTATATGGTTCGGTCAGGTAAGTAAACGAAAATTATTTAATATTGACGGTCATTTCGAATTTTTAATATTGAATTTTATAATATATTTACTTTTAATTTTTTTCAGGAGAGAGGGTCGAAGAAAGAATTAAAGGTGGTTGGACATGGGTTGAAGTTGGCTCAAAGGGTTCCACTACAGCTACCTAGAGAGATGGAGAGATGGATATCTAGGTCTGGTTTAGCTTCACTACAGAAACCAGTTTATCAAAGATAGACACAAACCTAGTTTCCGCTTTTGCAGAGAGGTGGCATCTAGAAGCATCATCATTTCACATGCCGTTTGGTGAGATGACGATTACTCTAGATGACGTACCTTGCCTGCTTCACTTGCCCATCAGGGGAGTTTTCTGGAGCCCTGAAGATATCAGTGAAGCCCTTGCTGTTGAGTGGGCTGTTGATCATTTAGGAGTGTCACAGAGAGTAGCACAACAACAAGTCTGTGAATGCAGGGGTTCCTACTACAAGCTGGAGTGGTTATATGATTTGTTCGTTGAGCATAAAGCTGCATCTAGATGGCATTATGCCACTAGAGCTTATTTGTTGATGTTGGTGGGTTCCACGATTTTCGCGGACAAGACGTTTACGCTTGTCGAGGCACGATACCTCTCACTGTTTATAGACTTGGATGGCTTATCTGGATACAGTTGGGGAGCAGCTGCGTTGGCTACTCTTTACAGATATCTCGGAGATGCTTCCATGTTCAGCTGTAAGCAGCTTGGTGGTTATCCGACTCTCTTACAGGTATTTATTTTAATTTAGTATATTTTGTTTTAATAAATTTTATTATGTTATAATTAATTATTTTAATGTTAATAACCATATTAATTTTGTGACAGTGCTGGATTCATGAGTATTTTCCAACACTTGGAAAAAAAGGAGAGAACTGGATACCAGCTCATAATGTGGGTCTCCCTCGAGCGATGAGATGGTCATATAGGTAAGGTGCCTTGAAGGTGGATGAGTTACGACCTATTCTGGACGAGCTGACACCTGCTGATGTCATATGGCGCCCATTCGAGAATCATAGAGTATGGCGTCAGTTCGATGAGTTATGCCTATATAGGGGGTGTCTGAGGTGGGGTGACACTATTGTTCCATATTTGCCTGACAGATGTGTGCGTCAGTTTGGATACAGGCAATATGTTCCACATCCACCTATTGATCACAGGATGGCTGGTGATATTGATGTTGACTGGATTAGTTACCATCAGAGCGTCCAGAATGTGATTCGTCCGACAGCACCGGCCACCACCCCATACGAGACAGATGATGGATATCTTGAGTGGTATTATCGTGTCTCTCATCCTCGATTGGTACCGATACCCTATCATGATGCACCATTAGAGATGCCAGCAGAGATGCCAGCAGAGATGCCAGTTCCAGTGTATGAAGCAGGACCATCTGATCCTAGTTGGGCTCGTGTGTCTTCGTTGATTCATCGTTATCTTCAGCAGGCTGGTGCTGAAGATGATGACCCACAGTTTGCGGATTTGTTCGAGGCTTTACATATTGCTCGATCACAGTGACTTATATTTTGTATTTATGATTATATGTTAACTTTTAGACTCATTTGACCCACAGTTTGCGGATTTGTTCGAGGCTTTACATATTATAAGTTTTGAAATTAAAATTGAGTAACAAAATTCATTATTCATGTTTTGAAATTAAAAATGAGTAACATAATTTATAATGTATAATGTGTTGGTAATATAGGCGTAAGTTGTTGCCAATGCTGTAGACGTGGTGCAAATCCTAGCATCCAAGATGTTGCTGCTGGAGAACGAAAATTCTTCCAATCTACTGTCACCGGTGGCAATGGAAACCCTTCTTTCATGTTCACCTAAATAAAAAAATAATCAAAATAGTAAGTAAAAAATAAATAAAAATACTTAGGGTTAATCGCATTATCAAAAAAACAACTAAGTACCTGAACCCAATGATTTCCATTTACAAAACCAATGCAGTAGATTGCTGCATTCTGTGAAAATGAAGTTGTCATAGGGAAGAAAGTCCAGCATTCAATTCCTAAACAGACAAGTACAACATTATAACGATTCGCTATCATGTAACCCATATCTGGTAGAGTTAACCATTTATGTGGTGGTTGAGAACCGACTTCCTCTATCATCAAAGATTCTCTCACCACTGCTAACTGATCAGTAAATAAATTGGCATACAAACTTGATCTTTCATTATGTATTATTTCCAACCCCAAGTCTCGACGAATCATTGACCAACCATCTTCACCCAATCCTTGCAATGAAGCAATGACTCTAAATCCACAATTACCATCTGATACAACATTAACTACATCATCAATATATGACCGAATGTGATTAGGAAACTGAAGGATGAACTGCTTAGATGACTGTGATAATTTCAACTTCTTCGAAGCTTGTGATGGTTGAGATTTCTTTTGTGAAGACTGTGATAATTTCAACTTCTTCGAAGTTTGTGATGGTTGCGATTGCATCTGTGAAGATTGAGATGCTTGATCAACATACTCATGATAAGAAGGGTCTCTATAAACATCATATCCTACTGGTTTTTTGTCTTTCTTCTTGATTCCCCCTTTAGTTTTTATTTTTTCAGGTGGTGGACACATAGAAGTCATTGTAGGGAAGGCAAGTTCAAACACCCTACTTTTTAATGCCTTTTTCCCAACAACATCCAGTGACTTAAACCTTTTCCATAACTCATCTATTGCACTACTCATATCCACCTCTGATCCATCATCTACGTCTTCATCCAACTTAACTTCCATACTTAGTTTTCTCCAATGAACATGTACAACATCTATTGGTATCGATATACCATCAATTCTATATCCTGTCAACTCACAAGCACAAGGTAATCCGTAGGTTGTTCTAAGAGTACAACGACATATTTCCTTGTTAGTTCCAACATAATCAACTCGTTTTAACTCTTAAGCAATGCGTCTCAATGCATTTCGAGATACTGAACCACGTAAATTATTGTAAAATGGACTTACATGGGCATGCTCAACTTCATAAAAACTCTTTTGAAAAGAAGCTCTAATATTACTCAATTGTAACTTCAAGTTGTCATTCATAGCCTCCCAACATTTGACCATGTCACCAATACTGTTCCCTAACATTTGCTTTAACTTCCAATGAGCAGACTCAACCCTAAAATTAATACAGATTAAAAATATTTTTAAAAAATTCAAAATAAAATACAATTTATAAATACTAAAAATAAATACATACCGATTAGTCGTGGTGTTACCCAAATGTAGCACTCGATCAATCCATGCTCCAACAAATCTTTGTCTATGTGGTGTCAACCATGTGTCCTTCACATAATCAATAAATTTATTACAATCAACACACGCCTGCTCAAGTTGGTTCAACCTTTGATCATACTCAACCTCATCACTAGCCCATACAACATTTGTCCATAAATCGTCAATTTTCTTTTGCATTTCACTAGCCACATATTGTTTCCGTTTTGCACCAACATTTTTGTTAATATGAAATCGACATAGCATATTGATCGACTTTGGAAACACAATTTCAATGGCTTTCATCAAAGCAAGATCTCTATCTGTCAAAATCACTTGTGGACACAACTCTTTCTTCACAAACAATTGTTTAAGCTTATCTAGCACCCAACAAAAAGTATCAATTTGCTCAGACTCAATATACGCAAATGCGATGGCAAAAGTCAACTCGGTTGATGTCATGCCAACAATTTCAAACAGAGGTTGCCTATATTTGTTTGTCTTGTAAGTGTTGTCCATAACTAGCACAATAGGAAAAATATTCAACAATTTAACTGAATCTGGATGAGCCCAAAAGATATCTCTAATTACTTCAGAGTCATCTCTTTTTCTACTCCAATAAACATAACCTGCTTCCTCAACAAGCTTAAACAAATGTTGTATCTCACTTCTAGGACCTCTTATATTTTTTTCTATCATACTCTTCTGTTTGTATATTTGCGTGATCCGAGTGACATTATCTGGATCTTGCTCTTGCAATGAAAGCAATATATGTCTAGGTGGAACCTTTCTCTTTGTCAAATCAACAACATGTTGCTTCTGATCCGCTGTCAACCTACCGACAAATGCGTGACCTTCTAATCTATCAGGTAAACCATGGTTATGAACTCCATATTTTACATCAATCTTCCATCCAGATCCATCAGTCGCTGGAATTGATCTGATTCTAAATGGACATCCACATTTTTTCGTCGCACTCTGGGTTCCACTATCAATATCTATGTGTTTTCCTCCTTTATCACATCCAAATATTAATTTGTTACTTCTTCCTCTCTGGCCTGTTTTAATATCTGAACGAGTGATGATAACCGTAACTTTATTTCGAATTCCGATCTCTTTAATCCATCTTATTACCTCTTCTCGTGTACCAAATCTTTGAGTTGTTGAAAAAACATCAGACGTATCTACACATATCTGATCTTTATCACATATTTGTAAAGGAATTTCTGAAAATACATAAAAAAAAATTCAAAAAAAAATTCAAATAAAAAAAAATTAAAAATAAAAAAATTAAAAATTAAAAAAATTAAAAATTAAAAAATTAAAAATTAAAAAAATTAAAAAAATTAAAAATAAAAAAAAAATGGAACACGTACCGGAAGACTTCATCAAAGTGTTCCGGTATGCACCACACAAATTACACTACCGGAACTCTTTGATGAAGTCTTTTATGAAGTCTTCCGGTATGTTATTTTTTGCATTCCGGAACTCTTTAAACATGTGTTCCGGTTTGGAAAAAAAAGCCTACCAGATATCATTTTTGAAGTCTTCCGATAGACAGTTGGATTAGAACTCTAAAAAATATATAAAATTAATAAAATAATAAAATATTAAATATATAGGGATAAAATAGATATTTTTAAAAAAATATGGGGGTATGGGTATAACTGATAGGGTATGAGGTAAAATTTCCCAATCTGCCCTATACTGCTCTCTTTTCTAAATTTTGCAGGCTTGGGCATTAAATAAGTTTTTGCATTTTTTTATAAAAAAAATGTAGTGTTTGTAGACCCGCATCCCCCATCTCTCACTTTTTACAAGATGGGTCAAGATTTTAGGTTCGCACTCTTAACTATGTCATTTCTGCTCCAACCCATTTTTGTGGGCTTTTTACAAAGTGCAGCTAAACGGATAAAACATACTCGTTTGCCTTCTTTAGTATTAAAATATATGTATCAACACTTATATCC